TAGTTTTTAGTTAAACCAAGATTTCGTTAAAGTGCAAATTAACACTACGAATATTACAATAAAAAATTGATAAGTCTTTAGAATTAAAAACAATATCAGTTAAATTATCAATTATTTTATTAGCGACATTGTTACTAGTGTTAATTTTTTTAAGAATATTTGGTTGAAAAGACATAGATAATAATAAGAAAAACTACAAAAATTACTTATAAATAAGTTGTATTGTAATAGTATTTCAAATCAAAGGCCACTTATAAAGATAAGATGATGAACGTAAAACAGGTACTATTTCCACAAACATTCAACCATTTTATTAGTATCTATCGTCATTAGTTGTCCATATCACCTTTCTTCATAAAAAAAACTCCAGTGCTATTCGATCAAACATATTTGTAACAATATTTACTTGCCACTTGTTTTGTAGTCCATAATATTTTCTTATTCCCCATCGACAGTTGATCATTTAAATATATACGTGTTGGGTTAAAGTTTGAATATAAGTCAGTTGCAATTATAGGTTTAATTTTACATTGAGTTTTGAAAGCTTTAATTAATTCTTCTTTTTTTGTTATTGTTAAAAATAACAATTATGTTGCTTTTTAAATTATTACTCATTTTACTGCAATATAATTTACTCACATATTCTTCTTTTAAGTTGATATTTACTAAGCTTGACACATTCTTATACACAATGTTTAAATGTTGGAATAATATTATATCTGTATATCTTGTTTTTATAAAATTATAAAAACTTTTTTATCATTATGTTGTCTTATAAATATAAAAGGTAATTGTAATATTTATCCTGAATGCTTATGTTAATATATTATGTATAACTCATATTACATTTAATTTTTGAGTACAAACGATTTTTATAATTTTTATTTATATTTTTGTGAAAAAAAGTAATTTTTCTATAATTTATCCAAGATAATGAAATTTCAATTTTTAAATAACATCAAAACAAAATAAATATAACAAAAACAATTATAAATAAATAGATACCTTAATTTACAAATATTAAACATATTTAAGGAACGAGTTAAAATATATGCTAAAAATGTGAAGTAAATTTTACAACAAAAAAATTGGGGAAATGGAGGGGACGTCAAATGTTGTTACCCTAAGGCATAAATGTCACGATGGTACTGAATATAAACAGTATCAATATATAATACACATGACATTGTGTAAAATACTTTAACTAGTAAGTTGTTTGATGGAAATTGATTTAGTGGAAACAAATATCAGCCAAAATATCATTTGATGGAAATGGATATTTTTATTATTAATTGGTTTAAATAGGTATAATTTTGTGGAAACGTGTCTTACCAGAGTCATTATTAATTGTGAATTACAAACAAATACGGCTGGTAATCAACTCGTTGGTACTCACTCTTTGTGAGATCAATCTATATGTTATATTTAACTAATATTGTTTATGCAGTGCAAATACATATTATTATTAGGCTCTAAATCCAATCGTTGGTCCGTGATCAGGTCTCATAATTTTATGAGCACATAGAGCCCTACCTGAATTGTTTGGTTTCGGCACCATTGAGTATAAACAACGAACAAATTAATCACTGTTTAATTTATTAAACACCTAACGGGATTAAAATGTAATAATATAAAATTTCATTAAATAACATATGTACCTACATACATTCATCAATATCGAAAACATAAAAGTAAAATTGATAGAATAATTACATAAATTGATACTAGTGATACTTTTATAATGTAGTACATACTGCTTATAGGCGCTTTCATTACATATTTGATAATACATAATGCGTATTATAAAATAAATATATTATTATTTATAATAATTTATAATATTTATTAAAAACATTTGTGATTTTAGTTTGTTTTAATTATTTTCAAAAATTTTAGAAATATACTGCAAGGGCAGTATGATTTATAATTAATAAGCAATTATTGCACATTTATAATATAAATATATACTTGTATTTACCAGTAGGTAAATAGTAAATATATTTAGATATTTATAATCCACTCCTCCCGTTTATGTAGGCTGGATCCGCGTCTAGTATTTGGATACGTCCCGAACGTTCCAAGTGATTTTCGGTCTAAACGACTGAACCTTTTATCCGAGATTCCTATAAGCGGCGTCTACTACCAAGACTAATATTTATTCATTTTATCATTTAGCTTAAATTTTTTTAATTGTATGTAATTATTTGTAATGAATTCGAAAAACTTAAGTCTGCTTCCAAATTCGTAAAGCTATAGAACTCAATGAAATCTTTATTTGTGAGCCATAGCGTTATAATATTTGAAGATGAGTAAAAAATATTTAGGAAAAAAATTAAAGGTCAGTGCACACAGAAAATCAGGATAATCATGTTCGAGTTGTATCTTAAATTGTACCAGTCGACTGTATTTTGTCTTGAATAGTTTTTTAACCTATCGGCGTGTGTTACCTTTATTTGAAATATTCATTACCAGACCACTAATACATTTTATATCACCGCAAAAATTTAAGCCACTATCACACTTCATATTTGTGTACTTATAACATGGAATTAATTTTTTTTTTTTGCATATCGAGTAAAATGTTTGACACCCTTTTTCGGTGCACCGAAAATATGTGATTTTAAAACATTTCCTATAGAGAAAAACTCTTGTTTTTAAGAATTCCTTTTTAATCACCACCATAAATTGTTGCGTTTTGTTATATTTTAGTATAGGCTTATAAGGTAATAAATTCCGTGTTTTTAAAAAAAGTACACACATTTATTAATTTTGATTGTTATTTTGTTACAATTAACTTATATTCGTAACATTGTTTGAGTATATAAGAAATAATAACAGTATAATAGTACAATAATTAACGGCCAAACTTAGTGGTGATGCGAAGTTTATTTTCCAATGAAGCAGTTAACGAGAATCGAGTACCCACCACAAGTCTAAGTTATAGATTCACAAAGTTCAATTGTACTTGGAAGAACAGTTGTATTAAAAATAATGGGTTCAAGCTAAATAATGTATAATAATATTTTATATCAAATGTGCAAATAGTTTATTAAACTTTTTTGTTACACAACACTACCTACCCACCTAATTTTAGTCATGAAGCAGCTACTTCAAAAATATCTGCATCGCGCTGTCACTGGTAACACCAATCATGTATAATCGGCACGGTTCACAACCACTAATTGACAGAACATTTTCAGATATTATACATTATTGTATTGATTTTAATTGCGAAATGTTATATATGTTATGTTATTTATGCTATATTTAACAGTGAATTTTATAAGGAATTTTCACTGGGCGAAAAAAAATTTTTTTCTCAAAATAGTCGATGTATAATACCATAGTACGATTATAGTATTACACGTTTGTTTCGTATTATTTCGCCCAATCTTTTAAAATACTGTCGACAGAGTATAATCACTGGGCAACATTTGTGTCGCCTAGTTAACTAGTTAAAAAATGCACTGATATTTAACCTACATACATATATAATGACCAAGGGTGGATAGGAAAAGGTTTAGTAGCATATTAAACGATTACCTAAACTTTATATATGTTGAAATATCACAGTAGTAGTCCATGTATTGTATATAATAATATGTAAAGTATTAAGTATAAGTCTCAAAAAGGCAAATTAGACTTTTCTTCATAGGTGTAATGAACCAAGTATAAATTATAAATGTAAATAAATTGTAACAATTAGGTGACTATAAGGAACATAATATAAAACAAATAGAAAATATAAATATTATTAATTATATGTTAAACATATATATATATATATATATATATATATATATTAAGCTTAGATGATGTATATAAAATACATAGAATATTTTCAAAATTGGTATCGATATCTACTTTAAAATAAAACAATAATAACAGGATAAATTTTATTTTAATGAAAATAATTTAGTTTTAATTTTTATTATAAAATGAAATGATGTTACAATTTATTTAATGGAAATACATATTAAAAATAATATCAATGTATAAATATAAAATATTCTTAACTGAGTATATAATAAACAAGGAGATATAATAATAATAATAATAATAATAATAATAATAATAATAATAATAATA